ACTGTTTGCGGAGCACCAGTTGTTTCTTATTAGCACTGCTTTTAGACACAGTGGGCGCCGAAGTGCCACTCGGCGTCCTGCTGTAGCTGGCCAGCGATGGACCCAAATTGACCACATAGCCGTGTTACAGATGGCGTGGTTCCATCCTGGATTGCCGCTCGTACTGGAGTACCTGTGTCGACTCTGATCATGCCTTGGTACGTTGTCGTTTCTCCATGAATTTTATCGGGAGGCGCACCAAGCGCCCCCTATGGTTGGCAACGGAGAAATTGTCTCAGTGCTCGGTCAGCAAGCGTATCAAGAAGCACTGTATACCGAACTTCCGCTGTTTTGTCCTAATGACACTGAGCTTCAGTGGAATAGGATCTCGGCCGTCATGCACGACGCAGGAGCATCTGCTTGTGGCACTATCCATCGTCACCGCACCAGTCACTGGATATCCGAGAGGTCGGTGAACCTGTTAGCATCTTTGTACTTTCTTATTCGTTAATGACATCTCGTGAGTGTTCTTAGTTTTCCTTTACTCTTGTGCACAATATCTTGGGAAGTTAACACTTACCGATCAGCTGTGGATAGTGTATGCTTCGCGTCCGGCCTGATAGGATTACTAACCGCCTCTGGTTGGTTTCGTAGCCTCTACGCAATTTAGTATACATCACATGCCCAAATGAGACTTCTGATCAACTCTCTGCCGCTCTCTTGCCATGTTACCACTCGACCAACCTGAGTCTTCAACAACTAAGATGCATCCTCACTGGCAGCGTCTTGACGTAAACGACACGATAGTACACCAAGTAACTAGTGTCGGCGGTCCAACTTTATCAATTGGCTCATTGGATTGTTGATGAGTTCGCCTTCAAGCGCATACGGACAGGCTTCAGCATTGCTTTCAGAGATCTACGAACTAGCCACAGCATTGCTCACTCATCGGCCTTACTAGGTACAGGCGATGCTCCAGAGTCATCGGTGATTGCCCGCATCAAGTCCGCTAACGTCTTCAAATCGATGGCACCATCTATACCAGTTATTGTCACTAGTCCTACTGCTGCGTCGTATTTCTTATCATCTACTGATAGGTTCGATATTTTATCCTTCTTTAATCTCCACTTCGCTGTGATCGTCCGCATTTGGTCTTTGACCAGCCGGTTGACTTCCTCATTGATTCGGCCACTATACTCAACAAATCTACCTGGACCGGCCAACCATTGAGATTGGTTGTTCATCATTAATGCCAGACGATGGCATGTGTGCCAAGCTCTGTGACATTATCTTACCCTTTGAATATGTGAACCGCACACTTGCATGAGCAACTCTGTGAGTCAATTTGTTCCATGGTACCTGCTCAAGGATTTGGTTTATCTTCAACGGAGCCATATTCTCCGCACATCCGTTCGGAGTTTGTTGGCTGGTCATTTGACTAGCCTTCCGTATCACATGAAGCCAGCAGGATGGAGTGGTCCGTGATCATGTCCCTCACGTGTTTAGGTAGTAATGGTAGAATAAGGATACTCTGTTATACCCCATTGACTACAAGTAATTTAAACGATAGTTGCACCTAAACGCCCCTTTTGTACTATGCAGATTTTAAGGCAGAATTTCTCTTTCCTAGTACCAACAGATAAGCACTGCTACGGTTTATAGAGCGAAACTGCGGAACAGTGTAGTCACAACCAGCCATATGAATAAGTAACAACAGAAGACTAAACATATTGTCACTGGATCATTTATCACGATAGAAATAAACCAGCTTTTTACTTGTTCAAATCCTGTGAGTGGCTAATACACGTTGCGTGTGAGCAGTTTGTCGAAAGTCAAGATGCCCTTCATACAGCCTTCTCCGACTCATTTCAAGCATATAAATCGCCGTTAACAAGGATCAGGCTGAATTCACTTTTTTCTTGTTCCTCATTATGTTCAACTGAGTGGTCCAGTCAATGAGTACTGAGTCTCCGTCACGTTCCAGCTACGACAGTGGGCATTACTACTACCATGCGCCTTGTGATGCTTCAATAGCTGTGGCTGGGGATATATTTCGTATTGGTTTTGACGCCATCTTCGAGTGCCTACCCAGCGAACATCCTGGATGCATATAGCCGGTCAAAATGTTCTTGAACTACACACCCCGACCTACAGATATACTGATCTGTGGGTCACTTACCTATCCATTTTCATTGGAATCTTCCCCAGCTCATTCTAATATGGACACTTCACAGAGTATAGAGCCGTTTTGGAGGTACACTCGAGAACTCTGAGACATTTTATTATCAAGTCTTTGTTTGAGGACCTGCTCTCATTTACCTTAAGCCCTATAGTTGCATCGAACAAGATGGCTTCAGCCAATCCATGGACATCTGAGTTTCATGTTCCCAGTAAACTTCATCGTGTTGCTTGAGTCTGGCTGTGAATGCGTATTGAGTTATTTGCCTGTTGCTCACTTTCCCTCGGGACTTGTTCCTCTGGCTGCATTTCGGTTATCCGGGTTCGACCTTTGTCGGTTTTAACAGTCATCTTGATTCGCTCATCATCCATTTTCGACTCCTTTTTGGTCCAAGGAAGATGACCATCTTACCTTTGTGAAGTTAGCAAGTTCAGTGAAGCAACCCTTTTGAGTTAGCATACTTCTAAGCGTGCCATCACCTTCGGCCGCTACTTGGAAGGGTTTTTTAAGGCAACACGTCTTCTCGTGAGATATGCCAATATATATGTAAGCATTTAATTCAACGTTGCGATTTCTTTTCGACGTTTCCCACCAGGCGGACAGATATATAAAACTGGTTGAAACCTTGCGCAGGATGCTACTACATGTGCTTCCCTTATCATGACTATCATTTAACTATGAGCGCCTTTCACTTTGGTCACAGGAGTGACTCAGTTGTTCCCGTCACCCCATCAGACAGACGAACCGTCGTATATTGTGTGCATATTATGTGTATATTTCCCTGTACGTGAATAGCATCGTCGATTGGAGAGTCGGATCGACAAACAATACGTCTTCTGGTTCGCTTGAAACGACACTTTAAACGATTCAAGGCAGCCGGATCAGACTGACTTCCTCCGGAGCTGTTCAAGTTTGGGGGCGGTTATCATTAGCCAGCTAACATTCTACTCTAAAATCTGGAATGAAGTAAGGGTGCCTTCTTCCTGGGGCGCATCAGTTTTGTCCCGATTTTTAAGAAGGGTGCTCGCACTTCATGCACCAATCACCGGGGGATTAGTCTCATTTCGGTTGCCTCCAAGCTATTGGTATCCACTCTACTCCGTAGACTGTCCCCGATTCATGAATCGCAGTACCGGTAAGAACAAGCGGGCTTCTGACCTGGCCGCGGGTGTGTGGATCAGATGTTCACACTCCGTCAAATCGTGGAACATCGCCACGTTTACCAGAGGTCTAGCATCGTTGCATTCCTGGACATCCGTGCCGCATTCGACTCGGTTGATCGACCTGCACTATGGCGTTGTTTGCTAATGAACGGTGTCCCAGAAAAGTACACTGCCATTCTACTCGCACTGTATTTTCAAATCTCTGGCATAGTGAGGGTGTATGGCAGGCCTTCGTCGTCCTTCGCTGTCAATAGCGGTGTACAACAGGGCTGCCTTATGTCCCCTTTCTTCTTCAATTTTGCGATTGAAGACGTCTTGTCGAAAGCTCTGGAAAGTTGTCAATATTTTGGTCTGCAGCTACTGCCGGGCAAGCGAGCGACCGACTTGGATTATGCCGATAACATCGCCTTATTGCTGATGACCCACAGAGTGTGCAAACCGTTTGGCGATTGAGGCATCTAGGTACGATATGCTCTTCACCTTTTCGAAGTGCATAGGGCTGCTCCAGAATTGCCACTTCCATGTTTCTGTGCTCACTCTTTAAGGTACACGGCTTGAACAAGTAGATAGCTTTATCTACCTGGGCAGCTGCGTGTCTGCTGGTGGCACTATTGAAAAGGAAGCTTCCTTCCGCATCGCCAAAGCTCGGTCTGCGTTTGTCAACTTGCAACACTTGTGGCGTTGTCGGGATGTCTCCTTCTTGGTAAAGGGTCGTATTTACAGTGCCACCGTTTGGGCGGTGTTGCTGTATGGAAGCGGGTTGTGACCAGTTCGCGTGGATGACTTGTGTCGGCTCTCGGCCATCAATAATGGGTGCTTGAGGAGAATCGCTCGTGTGTGGTGGCAGCAACGTATCAGCAGCAGGGAAGCCAGACGTCATGTCTTAGGTAATGTGAGTATTCCTTTCAACAAGCTGGTTTTGCTACGTCATTTAAATGGCTCAGTCACGTTCTGCATATGTCAGCTGAACGTTTGCCCTATCGCGCTCTGTTTGCTCGTACAAGACTCGGCTGGAAGAGACCACGTGATGGTCAGCCGTCCACCTGGCGACAGCATATGTAATCATTGACTTGACGTCTGCCTGGTTGGGGACCAAAGGGTGAAGAGTACCAATGGCTGGACACAATTCGGAATATGGGTCTCCATCGAAACCAGTGGAAGATCTGTGTACCTGCTTGGTTAAATTCAGATGCTTAATGCTTTAAAATTGAAACAGATAAAACATAGAAAATGGGCGTGTGGAAGAAATAAAAAGTAACAAGAGTTCCTTCTTCTTGATACACAGTAGCTGAAGCGTGTTGTTAATGTGCTATGATGATGCGGTGATTAAACCTGTCTTCTTCCCATGATTGCCATGGTTTTGTTTGCCTCTCTATGCATTTTTAGACTATTGCTAATACTACTACTACAAACTGTTCTACCCGTAATCACTAGCATACATGCTATAATTTTGAATAAAAAACTCCGCTTCATTGCTATTCATGTAAAACGTCACGCTGCTTCACCTACCATCAGTATGTCCCCAGTCATCGGCAGTCTTAGACAGAAAAATAAATTTCACCAGTGCACCACAACTTTTGAGCCCTGATCCGTTATAGTTTTTTTATAGTTCTCTTGTTGTCGCTGCTGCTACATTCATTGTTGAAATCCGCCAATTTTGTCTTTCACCTTTGCTCTAGCGCCACTCAGGACAAGATGATTATGCCACGGAACTTCACGCATCGCGAATGCCCAAAGCTAAATCCAAGAGAGTGAAAATTACGCGTTATTGGCTTTCCTACTTGATCAGTAGACGTCCTCCACTGTCATCGTAAACTCTCGGAAGTTCCTGGGATCACCATCCGTATGCTCTGACACTTCGTGTGGTCAAGCTGACCATTACGATCGCCTTAAAAAGTGTATTCTAACTACTCATACGTCTTGTCTGCTAGTTGAAACTGGGCGTAAAGGGTCACCGGTTCAATTGCGTGCTCCGTTTTTTGACTATCCCCATCGACATTTATCAGCCAACGCATCTAAAATTCTTTTATTACCCTCTGCTCAGTAATTTCCGCTTCAGTCGTGTCCGCGGCATACCGTATTGACCTCCGTTCACTACTTAGTATGGCTTGACCAATTCGTTCATGTTGTCTCACAGTTTGCTTAGCGGTGCTATTCTGGCTGTTTGATTTCTTTTTACACTATAGATGGCTCTTGGGTGTTGTATCGACCGGGTGAAGCAGGATTATTCCTATATGCACTTACTATCAAGGGAATTAACCGTCCTCTAACCGAAAGATTCCTATTGAGCAAACTCGTATTCCTTGAGTCATGGGTACTTTCTAATTCTCCTAGGATTGGCTCCGGATTCTATGAAACCACTGCTGAATAGACAAACGCGCTTCATGTTATTTAGATTGTCAACTTGCGATTTACTGGACTGATTCAGAATCGTCATCAATCCCTTAAAATCACCTGATCGGTTCAGTTATGGATTTACCCGTATCATCTCTAGTGGCTACCTAATAAAAGGACCTACTGCACACCTCGGTGGCTTTTTTAAATCTTGATCACTTTGAAACCTGCAGGATTTGAGCTTATTGTTTAAAGGAAGAGTGTTTAGCGTTGCACTACAATTAGCGCTGCCGCTGGGATCACAAATATGGCCATGGCACGCTGAGTGCATTAGCCATGTTTAACCAACGGCTCCTGCGAAATATTACCCATTTTAGTGGATACATCGAACAATTATTGCTGAAGTTCTTTATCTGGACTTTGGAAGCAGACTATCTGTTGCGGGGCTGAAGTAAATAAATAAAGGCATATTTTCCGACTGTGCGAGAAGCTGATCCATTGAACGGTTATATATATATATATATATATATATATATATATATATATATATATATATGCATCCTTGTGCATATTAATTGAAACAAACTGCGAAAACACTGAACAACCTTTTTTTCAAAATTGTTATAATGAATTGCACTAATATACTCACATCAATACACAACATGACCTCCTCGACTCTTGAGTAGCATTTTAATACGGCTTGGCATGAAATCCACTAAATTTGAACAAACTTTAGCCCATCTTGGGTCCCTGTACCAAACTTGAATTAAAGCTTGATCAAGTTTCTCCTTTGTCGTACAGTCCATGCCACGAAGGCGCTGCTTGCAAATAGACCACATATTTTCAATGGGGTTTAAATCTGGTGAATTCCCAGGCCAGTCCAAGATGGTTATTTGATTAGTATTGAAAAAAGTCTTGACCATTTTTGATGTGTGGCACGGGGCCAGATCTTGTTGAAATACGCCAGATCCGTCAGGAAATGACTTTTTTAGTTCTGGAACAGCTCTTCTTTGGAGAACTTCTATATATTGTGGAGAGCTCATCATGCCCTAGACTGGATGCAAGCCGCCGACGCCGTAATAACTAAAGCACCCCCAAAACATCTGCTTTTGTGGGTGTTTCACAAAGTTGTCAATGTGGGAATCACGAACCTTTTCTCCCTCTGACCTCCGAACATACTGACTTCTCTGACCATGAACATAGAAATGGCTTTCATCGCTGAATAGGACTTTTCTCCAATCTTCTTCTGTCCAGTTTTTGTATTTTAGTCCCCATTTGTAACGCTTAACTTTCATTACTTTTGTCAGAAGTCGTTTTTTCACAGGCCTTCTAGCTTTCCGACCAACTTCCAGGAGTCGCCTGCTATCCGTTGAAGAACTGATTTCTATTCCTTTCTCCCCCAAATCACGTTTTAATGCGTCACTAGTCTTTCGAGGATCTTTAACACTTTCCCGTATTAGGTAATCGTCATCCCTGGTAGTGATTTCCCTCTTAGGACCACATTTCCCTTTGCGTTTTGGCGAAATGCATCCCGTTTCCTTTTTCTTTTTGACCACACGGCTGACGGTTGCCAGACTGACGCCTACTATTCTTGCTATGTCCCTGTAGGTCTTGCCTGTGTGTTCGTGCAAGGTCACGATCTTCATGCGCCTTCTGGGAGTCACGTCCATCTCAAACAATGACTGAATCACAAAAACAAGAAGTTGAAACAAAAACCTTACTAACCATAAAAAGTATGATGCAATCTTGGGTGATGTAACGACAATACATGCGCAGTTATTAAATCGTCTGATTCACAAACAATGATGAAATATCTATTCCCAAAATAAAATAAAAAATAAATGCAAAACGGCAGCTTTCATGTATAAAAACATGATATTCATAGAAAAAGAGACACAATCGTAGTTTGTTTCAATTAATGTGCACAAGGATGTATATGGTTGGCGGCATCCGGTTTCAGATTTGCCTGTCACTGTGGCAAGCCACAGGACGCCCGCACCTACAGAGGGACCATAGATGACTTGCGCTGCACCACCCACAGCTCCATCCACACACCCCATATCCAGTGTAAACCCGAAGGAATAAGACCGGGAGGCATGTGGATGGGAGCCACGTTTCATCAACGGAGCCGGCCCACACTCCTTCACAGGCAAACACAAGCACGCTGTATTTGGGGAATCAAGTGCACACAAGGCGGTGGCTGGACCGTAGTCCGCTCCACACTGAGTGCATGGAACCGCTCTTTGAGCCTAGCATGGCCACAAGGACCGTGCATCCCGCCCGCTCCAGCAACGACCAACTGTCTCCTGGAGCCAGTATGGACGAGGTAGCGGGTAATAGACAGATAGGCACCTTGTCAACATGCACATCAAGCGCAGCCACACCTGGGATATCAAACAACAGCTAATCATTTGAGAGAGAGAGAGAGAAACAAAGAAAATAACTCGATTAATGCAAAAGGAAACGGTGACATAAACCTTAAGTTAATGAGCATATGTAATAAGTTGTTTACAAACGAATCCTATATAAGTTCGCGAGGTCAGAAAGTATACTTTACGGAATAACTCGAACAGAAAAACGCTATGGAAATCGACTACAATTGGCTTAAGCGAAGTGTGCAAGTTAATGGAATAGAGTACAGGTAGATATTTATATGATAAAGAAAGGCATTTAGGCAAACTTGGAAACCCACCACCTGAAATAAAGAGACTTAGCATGCAAGCACGCGGTTAGTAATTCGAATGCAGCGTACCTACAGACGCTGCGCCGGTTCTGCCTACGTTCTCTGAAGAACCCGTCGTCGCTTCTGTAGTGGTCCCGAGTGGCCTCGCTCATGACTCACTAGGAAAGGGTGACATATATCTTTAAGTAATGAGGATTGATTTCATGATGATGAAGATATATATATATATATATATATATATATATATATATATGGGAATTTTGGACTCGTGCATGCTTAAGGCAAGGAAAAAAGTACTGGTCACATCCCACGTGGTCCCGAGAGCACATAACGCCTTATGTATGTCCAGAGGTTAATCGAGATCAGTCTGGAAATGGTCCTTTCAATCCTCTCATGGTATGACACGTAAGCGCGTATGTTTCAGCCGTCCGCCCTTGCTCTTATCTACTCCATCTATCACTTTCATCATATCTAGTAGGTCCAATTAATAGTAGTTAAGTTACATCCTCCTCTATTAGTCATCTCAACTTATTCACATAACGGCCACCCGGCTGCTTCATACTACCTTTTCTCTCAATTTCTCAACTTGTTGCGAGAAATCGCACTGTGAAATGACATGGCATAAGAAAACCGACCGGTAGGTTGAGTCTGTCTGGTGCATTCGGTCTTCTAGGAGGGGATCCTCTAGATCGGTCACCTTAACTTTTAGTGACCCTATCGGATACGCTGCACCCACAAGTTCGGTGGCATTTTTGAACCCACTCCTTTCTCATGTAATTTCCATTATTCCTCCTGAGCTAACATCCAATCCTCCCTACCTCTATTGCTATTTTCATGATGACGGGAGCCACGACACCCGGATTCACCGTTCTCCAGTGCACCCACCATGGATTTATCAATTGAACTGACATAGGGCTAGTGTTTGGCAATGGTGCCTTCAAAGAAGAAGTGGATGCTTAGTAAGATGGGTTGGCAAGATTATGGTGCCGCGGGGAACTCCAGTGTGTTGTGTACCGCTAGACAGTTACAGTCTGATATCGAAATGATCTTCGAGCTGGTCCAAGCTAATTAAAGTAATCCCAGAAATAATCAGTGGTTCTAGTCACTAACTTTCACACATTTTCGCTTAGTTCCAAGTTGGCCTTGGTTGGATCCTCTCGGCTCCCCGGTTGGGATCAGAGACGATGAATACAGTTGGCTGCTTACACTTGTCGACATTGCTGGGAGTCGGCCTCAGTGTCGTTGGTTTTGTGAGCTTCTTTGTCCCTCCCTCTCCCGCTTAGCCTCCACCTCCAATCACCATCTCTTTTCGGCACAATAGCTGGCTGGTAGCTCTCCGGAACGATGCCCATCCGATATTGGTGGCTCAGCCGACGTGCCCCTCATGTTTTTAAAAAATAACTTTCTTATGTATTGCGACACAATAGCTGAGGTGTTTTCCACCCCTATCCAACGTGTATAATGATGATAATGATGGACATTTGCAGACTGGTTGGGCACATCGATTGACCCCATTGCCCTCGCATGATAGTCCGAAGTGATGCTCTTGTTAAACTACAGTCCGAGCACCTTGTGTCATTCCGCTGGTGAATGCCTCCTAGCAACCTGATCTATCGTCAAGCAAAACTTTGAGCTCTCCTGGTTTTGCGCTTCGCGATATGTCGCTACCTTCTGTTAAACGCGACGTTCCAACATTGCCAGATATTCTAACATCACTTTTGGAGCGGGGTTGTCCCTTCATCCGACATTTACCACAGCCTTGTTCTCGTCCCACAACGTTGCAGACAGCACTTTGCATTCTCATCACGTCTCTCGATAGCCCAATATGCGCATCCGCCATCAATGTCACTGAATCTACTCATCATGACTTCATGTTAAAAGTGACAAATCAATAAAAGCGCGTTACCTGTTTAGTCAGAGGGGATTATGTGATATCTCACTTATGAACAACAACAACAACACGTCATTGTATCAGGTCGCGGTTCGTAATCAAAAATGTGTGAAAGCTAGTGGCCAGAACCGCTGGTTATTTCTGTGATTACCCTTCATTTTCTTGGATCTGCTCAAAAAAACACTTGGATATCAGAATGCGACTGTCAGTATGTTGCACATGCTGAAGTGCCCTCGTGGCTCCATAATCGAGCCAACCCATTTTAATATTTATTCCGGTTTTGTTTGAGGGCTCACATGTTGCTAGGTTCTTATTGTTTGACCTCGACTATTGCCGGTCATTCTCAACCACCATAAAACCTTTCGGTGTACCCATGTGTGTGTGTGTGTGTGAACTTCACTTACTATTGTCAGCACATTGACTTGGCGCGTCAAGCTCCATTCCTCATGTGATCCCCAGCTCTGCGTAGTTCCAACGGACCTTCGGACAATTTCACGTC